ACAGGGAAGAGCCAGATGACTTCTCTGTTCACTGACATCTTGAACCTGGCAGCTCGAAGAGCTGGGGGCTGGATGACACGAATTGACTGAGCTCATTGTCTGGAGTTTTGCATCCTGCCCTAGGTTTTGATCCCAATGCTTCTCTTGGTCTCTCCCTATGGCAACTTGGGCTTCCTCATACCACAGGTTTCAGAGTATCTCTCCTTTAAATGGTGATTATCAGCCCTGGAGAGGAAAGTACAGCTACCTTGAGACCTGGAATTGGCACTGCATCACCTTGACCACTTTCTTTTGTTAAATTAAGTCACCAGTCTAGCCTGGATTCAAGGGAACAGTTTCCTAAAGTGGGCGGTATAGAAGTGAAGCACCGGTTGCTTCCAGGTGGGTTGGTAGTCTGGGATAAAATTGGTGGTACAACTTTAAGAAAGTTTCTGTTTCCTTAAAGAAGGTAGATTATTGACTATAGAGACACTGAATGTCTCCTCCAAAAAACACACTGGTAGACCAAATGGGATTGGGATTCTCTAGTAGAGGGTTGAGTGGAATATTCATATAGAGCCAATAAAACTTCTTGGTCTATTTAAGTTCCTATTTCTGATTAGATTCTTGCCTAAAACATAGCAGATAAATACATACATTCAGTTGCATTATAATTTTATGGGTCATGAATAGTTCACTGAAGGACCTTTTTGCATATTGCAGTCATATGTCAACTGGGATAGCAGTCCTTTGGTACTTTAGCTGGGCTGGACATCTAAGATGGGTCTCGTGCTTGGCAGGCATTCAGTGCTGGCTGGTGTCTGGGAATTCAGTGAACACTCTGTCAACCAGAAAGTCTAAACGGGAGCTCTCAGTATGGTGACATCAGAGTGGGCTCACGTCATGCATGGCAACTGGCTTTCTCCAAAGCAGTTGTCCCAAGAGTGTCAGACAAAAATGATGTGGACTTTTCTAACCTAGCCTAAAAGTAATAGAACATCACTTTCACCATCTTCTATTGAGGCAAACACTTAAAAAACCACTCAGGATCAAAGGGCAAGGTCATGGTGGGCAAATCTCAACCAAGTTGTTTAGATCTGCCACAACCACCGTCTTTGATGATTCTCTTACCAATCTCCTAATTCAGAGTCACATGAGGTTCTGGAAGAAAGTAATCTTCAAACATGATCTAGATCAGAGATTCCCAAATGTACTTGGCCTATCATTGTTTTTGCAGAAAAATTATTCAGTCCCCTACCTCTGGAAATCTATCTTCATAGACAAAGTAACAGCAAGCACTTCCTCAACTGCACTGAAGCCTATAACTACTCCCCTGGATCATTCCAGTGTCATCTTCAGGTGTGGTGTCACCCACACTTGGAAACAATCATGTAGATAAGTACTGTAGAGTTTGAATCAGAAATGAATGCTTTTTCAGAGTTCTAGCATTTGTATCTCAAAGTTCAAATTACTGATATGGGATTTAAAATTAAAGTGACTTTCAATTCCTTGGTCTTTATCTTCAGTAGTCCAGTAGGAAGTACAGCTTTTGCCAGACTGCCTTCTTTGGAGCCAGATTTCTTCTGTTAAGTGTTTTCACAAAAGGAAAACACATTTGGTCCAGTGAGAAGCAGTCTTGTCATTAAAACATCTAATTTGGTGGTGCCTGATGACAATGGTTCTACTCTCAGCCAGTTCAAACCTGCCAGAAAAAAGCCCTAAATGTATCTGTCCTCCCTGCCTCCACTCACCCCAGCCTTATCCTCCAGCACAGACAATGGAACCACATGGCATCTTGCCCAGAAACATTGCTCAGAGCTGCTGGAAGATGAGTGAACCTGGAATCCAGAGGATGGTGTCTTGAGGCATTTGGGAACTGGCAGGAAACAGACACCAGGGAGATGATGGGCCAAGAGGTGGTGACTCCAGGGACATTTTCATCTTTACTACCAAACACTCAACCCTCTAACCCTCTGGCCCTTACTCAAGAAAACAACCCACCTCTCCCTAAAAGCATGGCTGTGTGATATTTTGCTTGAAAATAATTCCTTTTATTTCAGGACTGAGGTACTTAAAGACACAGTGTGACCCCTGTGTCCCATGTTTTATCAGATATGCACAGTTTGCTCTCTGAAGAGGGGCAGAGGCTTGGAAAAGAGGAGAGGACAGTGGTAATTACATAGTGCAAACTTCTGGGCTGAAAAAAAAGAACACTTTCACCCAAGTAGGACAAGGTTGATGGATTCTAATGAGGAAGGAGAATGGCTAGCAATACTATTCTGCTCGTATTAAAAGTCACACAGAGGGGCTGAAAATTGGAAATGTCCTATGTCTTTTATTAAAGACTTTCTGTGATCTCCATAGCAGATTGTGTTTAGGAACCTTGTTTAGATGTCATTGTTTTTCTTGGCACTTAAAGATCCATGATTCCTGGTCTTGGAAGTAAATGTGATCTCATTGATTTTCCCCCATATGAGCACAAATTTTCCATATATGTTCTCGGAGGCAATGTGCATTTTCTTTATCATTTGATCACTTCTGTGACAGGGTGGTTTATGGTGCGGGAACATGGTATTTTTTGCCTTTTGTATTCATGGACAGACTCCACTAATATTACCAAGGAGACATCCTCTCAAGGGAAAGAGCGATATGTCACTTTCATCTTGGAGTTACTGTTGTTGGAGAGGTCATTGATGAAGGGACTTAGGGGTGGTGGTAGCTGTGGTTATCTGTGTGGAGAAATTGGGCAGAGCATCTTATTTTGGCAGAAATATGGAGACACTTAGAATAGACCTAGTTACTATGCTTAATATTATTGAAGGCAAAGATGCATTTCCCAAATAGTCATGCTGCTTATTGGGAGTATACAGACGAAGCAAAACAATTGTTATGTACTCAAGAATTGGTGTGTGGTGTGTCTGTGTGTTAGAATGTACTAAGCACTGCAGCACTGTCCTCCCATTGTTCATTGATTTGCTCAAGCAGGCTCCAGTAACATCTCCATTGTGAGACTTGTTGTTACTGTTTTTGGCATCTCGAATATGCCACAGGGAGCTAAGATCATTTGAAAAATCTTAGCATAAGTTTGACAGTTAGGTTCAGTGAAAATATACCTCCTTTTAGAAGACAAATAGATGACAGACCATGTAATGGACACAGGACCACCTAATCTCGGATTCTGTCCTGACTAGTTTTTCTTTTTAAATCTGAGGTTCACCACTTACTAGCTGGGTGACCCCCTGGTGAACTTCTTAACCTTTCTGAGCTACATTTTCTCATTTGTAAACTGTAAAATAAAGACAACACCAAATACTTGCTAAGATGATGCGAAGATCAAATAAGATAATGAACGATCAGATAATGGTAAGCATTTAACTCACTGGTTGGCAGAGGACAGACACTGGATCAAAGAAGCAAGTTGGTGGAAACAAACTATGTGAAGGGCTCGAACTTTCTTCTCTGCCCTTCTAAATTTATCCAAATCTCTACCAATCTCCTACCCTCTTCGAATTCTGATCCCTGAAATGGAGAGAAACACACTTTCCCAACACAGTGATATTAATGGTCAAATCTTGGATTGGATAATCACAGTGTAATGAACCTCCAGATTACTAAATATTATTTACAAGAAAAACAGGCCTCCAGTTCCTTCCAGACCAAGGACAGAGGCTGAAAATTGAGTTTCGAGGGTGCCAACCTTTGGGCTAGGGCTGGCAGCAGGGTTGGCCCACTCTCTGGGTCTTGAAAGCAACAGCAGGCTCTAGCAATTGAGTTACCGCCTGGGATTCAGTGGACTAATCCATCTATATAATTTCTTCCCCTGGTTTAATGTCATTAACGAAACCAAATTAAGGAGTGGGTGAGGTCGGGTGTGATGAGGGGGAACAGCTTTTCTGTGCTGGAGAGTCAATGCCGAGTCACCACTGCCAGGCTGGAGACTTTGGTCTGATTCATGGATGGCTCCAAGAACTTGCTGCCACCCCCAGTCCCCCCAGTAGAAGAAACCTGCAAGGTCCTGGCCAGTGCCCCCCCCCAAAAAAGGTCATTGCGGAAAGGATAACGCAAAGCGCTCCGGCAATGATTCCTGACTCCCACCCCTCCCCCCACCCCTAGTCTCTAGGTTCTTTCTCCTTCCTGCTTCAGCTGTCAGGCTCCCTCAGGTACCATTTCTGAGTTCTGTCACTTCCTTTATTACTCAGGTAGAGAGCCCGTTTAGCACGGCTCCAGCAATTCCTTCGGATCCCATCTCACTCCTTTACTCCATTTGTCTGGGGTTGGCCATCGTGGGTAGTGTACATTCTTCGCGCCCAGTTTGCCAACCAGAGCTACAAGCCCCAGGAGGAGGGGCCTGCGCGTGGGGGTGGGAGGCGGCGGTGGGAGGTGGCAGTCGCCTCGCGTCGGTCAGTCTTTCACTCTGCCCCAGAGGCACCCAGCTCCCCGCGCAGAGCCCAGCTGCCTCAACTTGGGTGGCTGGCCCGAGACGCGGACTGACCGAGTCCCAGACCGAGATTTCCCGGTTCGGTGCAGGTATTTGCCCCCAGCGGGGTCCGCAGAGGGTCGAGTCGCGACCGCTGTGGGCCCGGGCAGCGCTGCGGAGAAGGAAGGTGGTGTGTGTGTGTGTGTGTGTGTGTGTGTGTGTGTGTGTGTGTGTGTGTATGGGGAGGGGAAGGCTGGGGGGGTGGGGTTCGTGGAAGGGTAACCAGGACTGAAGGAGTTGGGGTGAGGCGCTCTACACTGGGATATCGGCGGGGGCTGGGGGTGAGGGACTGTCCCAGGGTGTTCCGACGACGCCCGCGGGCCCGCTCGGCCACTGGAGGGGCCAGGAGACGCCGGGCCGCCACTCCACTCGGCTCGCCCGAGTTGTGCCAACCCGCCACTGACGTGGCGCGCCCCTGCCTAGCTGTGCTTTCACTACAGTCGGCAGGCGGCTTTGTGGGCCCCGCCCTCGCTACCCCCCCACCTCGCGTGCCCGCACCTCGCGTGTAGATTAAAGCGCCTCGGCTGGTGCTTCGAACCTCGAGGGCACCAGAGTTCTCTGGAAGGAGAGCGCGAACCCAGGTAGCCGGTGAGCTCCAAGGGGGTGTGGGTGTAGGGAGAGCGAGCTAGCGTTGGAGCAGGTAAAGGCTAAACGGTTCCCGCTTTTTTGGGGGGGGAGTGTGAGGGGGGTGGTGGATGGGACACGAGCTAATGGTGTGCGTGTGGAGGGGGGAGGGGCGCTGCTTTGGGGGGCGGGGGGCAAAGAATCGGATCCCGCACGTGGATGAAACTGAAAGAAAGAGGTGACCCTCCCCTCCCGATTGTCCGCGGGCTCGGCGCTGTGCGGCTCTGCGGTGTGACGGGCTTGCACACCGCCGCTCATCACAGGTTCAAACATCTCCCCTTGGGTGGGGAGGGCGGGGGGGGAGGCTCGTTATTTCCAAGTGAATATTCCGGGCTTTTGTTTAGATCTCAACAGAAAGGATTCTTCCCGTGGGGGAGGTTTGGGGGTGGGGGGTTATATGCCGCGGACCGTCTTGGCGGCCCCGGAGGGAGCCGGGTGGGGACCAGGAGACCCCGGCAAGTGCCCGCGAGGCCGGCGGCTCAGCCCAGGCGTCCCGCCCGCACTTCTCGGCGGCCCCGGTGCGGGGGGGATGCGCTTCCCGGCCGGCGGGCGGGTGGGCAGCCGCGGCGGGTGCGTCGGGGGGCGGCGTGCTGAGGGGTGGGGGGCGGCCGCCGCGCGGCTTTGTCTGTTCACTTCTGGAGCGAGGAGAGCTTTTGCTCCCGCGGCGGGCCGCTCGGGCTGGCGGTGGCGGTGGCGGTGGCGGCGGCGCGGCGGCGGCGGCAGCGGCGGCTCCTCCTTCACCCCCTCTTTTCCTCCCCACTCTCCCGTAGGCAGCGGCGGCGGCAGCGGCGGGGAAACGCGGATTCCGCCCCGAGCCTCAGCGTGGGGAGCTCGCGCTCGCCCCCGGCCGCCCGACTCACTCGCCCCAAGTCCCGGCAGCTCCCAGAGCACTTGCGTCTTCCGCGCGACCCCGGTCCAGCAAGCTGGGATCTATGAGCGGAAAGGTGACCAAGCCCAAAGAGGAGAAAGATGCTTCTAAGGGTAAGCCCGCCCGCCTCCCCGCTCCGGCTGGCCCCGGTCCCTCGCGTGCGCGCCGCCCTCCGGCGGCTCCCGAGCACTGTCCAGGAGCCGGGCTCCGCATCTTGACCTCCGCGACCCCGGGCGCGAAGATGGGGAGTGGGGGGGAGGGGTCCCGGGCCGGCCCGGCAGCACTTTTTTCTCTGGCCTGGGGGGAAGATGATGCTCCTGCACGCGCGCTGCACCTCTGCACGCGCCGTAGCGACGCTGCGGGCCGCCTGAGCCTGCTGCAACCCCAAAGCGCGGGGTACCGCGCTGCCGCTGCCCCGCCGGCTGCCAGTTGGTGCGAGTGCATGTGTGTGTATGTGTGTGTGTGTGTGTGTGTGCGCGCGCGCGCGTGTGCGCGGGTGTGTATGTGTGTGTTGCGCGGGTGACATACTCAGGAAGCTGCCCCACTCGAAGAGCCCCCGGATCGCTCCCACTTTCAACCCCCTCTCCCCGCCCCCAATGCAAACAAAGAGCCTGGCCGAGGAAGCCAACCCCTCCCCCCGCGCTCCTTCCACTCTCCCCCCCCCCCCCCGCACTGTCCAACTCTGCGCCTCCCGACCCGCACACCCCCCTCGAAGGCAGCTTGCGATCTTACACTGGCCGCGTGCAAAAGTGAGCCGTCCCCGCGCCCCGGCGCCGCCCGCGTTGCGTCTGGGCTGCGCAGCCTGACCAAGCCCCTGGAGAACAAAGGCTGTTGTCCCCTTTGCCACTAGTGCCCAGTGGAAGCAGAGCTTCGCGCGTAAGGGGGCAAGCCCCCTCCTTCTCCTCTACTGGGGTTCAGTCCCCTGGCCCGGGGCGCAAAGCCTCGCGTCCCCCTGAGTGCTCATTTCGCTCTGGGGCCTCCCATAGGCGGGTTGGGGTGGCACAGTGGAGCAGGGCCCCGGCAGATGAGAACTCAGAAGGAAGGGGCATCACACCCCCTCCCGCCATGTCCCCTTCCATCCCCTAGGAGCCCCTCCAAACCCGCCCCCCAACGACTGCCTTTCTGAGGCTCTGCTTTAGCTCAGGAATGTCTACCATAGGTGGCAGCCTTGGAGACCCACGGTTTTGGGGGGGGGGGGCAGAGACACAGCAAAGGGGTGTGGTAGAGCCCTGGGGAATAGAGGTGCCTGGAGTGAGGTGTCAGCGGGGCCACGGAACAGCAGTAGACACTGAAATGGGCCGGTCCGGCCTTGAGGACCCCTGTTCACCATTGACCACAGCAAGATCCTGGTTCAATTCATGCTGCAGAAGTGAAGATGCAGTTGGGGAAGCCCAGGATTAGTTTACCGGCCCCCAGTACTTCTTTGAGCTTTTGGGGCCCTTCCCCTCCTACACTTTCCCCTATTCCCTTTTCTTGTCTCCTCCTTCTCGCCTCTCCCCACTTCTCGGAGCCTTCTTTCCCTGGAGATTCTAGGGCAGCGCCAGCCCTCCCCCGCGGAAAGTTGTCAAAGTCTTCATTCAGCTTTTCCTTCCCAAATGGAGCGGGTTCTCCTCCACAGACTTGAGGAGAAGTTTGTGTGTCCAGGGGAGTAGGGGTGGGGAAGGAGAGGGGAGTGGTTAGATCTTTAGTACTAAGAGTCAGGGTTGTCCTTGGCCTGGCCAGAACTAGAGTTCAACCCTTTTGCATCCAGTCCTATCATTTGAGATCTGAAGATTAACCAAACCCTCACTTAGAAAGTTTAACTCTAGCTCCACCTTGTCAGGGCTTTCCTAATTGTCGTGTGTTATAAACAGGCTTTTCTAGCAGAGCACAGGACTTGGGGGGGTTCCTTTAAAGGTTTTCATTTCCATCACAGCAAAGTAAAGACTTTTGAAGATGCTCATACCAGATTGATGGAGGCAAGCAGTTCTTTTCAGAATTGGGGGATATGACAGATTGGTTTTTATAACTTTGATTTCCAATTTCCATTAGGTGTTTACCTACGGTTTCTTTGTGTAAGGCTCCCTTTGGGAGGAACCTAAGCCCAAATTAATTCCCAGGAAATGGGTTTTGCTGTTTTAGGAATTTAATTCGCAACTGTCCAGAAGGGATTAACAAGTCTGGGAACATTAGGACAGGTTTCTGTAACTCAATAATGAAAACTGTTACTAGGCATATGTCAAAATATTTTCTTATGTTGATTCATTTACCACTTTAGGAACTGAACACCTCCCTGTAGGAATTGTGTAATTAGCATTTGAAATTATGGTTGTAATTAGAATAAATTAAAGTAATTTTATAAGGTAACTTTTAAGAAGGGAGCTTACTTTCTTTTGATGGGAATCTTATAGCTGCCTGGAGAAGGAATCCAATTTCTGCCTTTCTGTTAACGGTTAAAGTCACAACATTTTCAAAATAGTGAATAGTCATTAATTTGTTCTCCTTTCACATATGTTGATAGACTAAAATTTTAAAATTAGTTAGTTTGGGGGCACACTTGGTAATGCTTAGGTTACTCCTGTCTCTGCACTCAGGAATTAGTCCTGGCATACTCAGGGGACAATATGGGGTGCCCGGGACGGAACACGGATTGGCCATATGCAAAACAAGAACCCTACCGACTCTACTATCTTTCCAGCCACTAAAGACTATGTTTTATGGTACAGACCAAAATCACTAAGTGCAGGTCTACTTATAGTTTTACTTAATAAACTTTACTGATCATATTTATGAAAGGATTTGGTTATTTACAAACTCTGTATGCATTTATGTCATTCTTGTATATTTTGAAGCTGAAGGGGTCAGGAGCATATTTAGTATTTACTTTGAATATACACACATTTAATTGTGAACACTGAAGTGATGAGTGATCGAATTAAGCCAAATAATTTGTAACAGTATGAATGAATTTCATAATCTTTTTCAGAGTCTACAGTTCATTTTTACTCAGCCTCCCACCCCATATTTGGGAAACATGCCCACATCCTATCACAGCAACGTAGAACAGTATTACAAAGTGTGGTGTTTCTAGAATTTTTAAGCACAGGAAGTAGGGTAATCAGTTATTTTGTGCTGCTGAATGAGATACAGCTTTAAGAGTATAAAAATTATTGAGTTACATTTTGAGTGACATTTCCAACCCATTGAGGTGGAGACAGACAACGATCATTTCAATAACCTTTTCACCACTGTAGCTAAGCACCATAAACAAGGGGAGGAAGGGGAATCTTGATTGATTTTGAAATGATTTCAATGACATCTTGGATAGCAAATTATCTTTGATGTATTTATTTAGGCTTTGCATAGAACATTAAATTGAGAGACAATTATATAGTTTGGGGCATTCAGCCCCAGAACAGGAGGACCTCTTTCCATTTCAGGGAGGTTTAACATTTGTTTGTTCAAGCAGATATTTGCTTCACTATGACTCACTTTTTTTTTTACCTTGTCACATATGATCTTCTTAGCAGTTCTCTAGTTGGTCGAGGACTCAGTGGAAACTGTGTCTGATTTCCTGCAACTGTGTTCCTGTGGTGTTCGAAAAATGTGTAGCCTTAAGCAGGGAGAATGAAATATTTCGGGCTTGTGTGAAAGTGGCAGCTAGTTCTCTATTGTGAAGCTGTCATTTGGTTTGTAGCTATGTATTTGGAGTTGGGTATTCTTTCCAGCACATGTAGACAAGTTTGAAGGCTCAGACGGGCATGTGATCTCTCAGCAAGATGGTTCTGGGGTTAGGCTGGACTTCTACTGGTTGCCGGGTGATAGAGGACAGTTCCATGCAGAGTCCAAGAAACCAGCCACCAGCACAGCTGTTGCTGTAACAGATTTCTGGACAGCATGTTCAATTGTGGGCACAGCTCATTTTCTGCTCACTTTCTGCCCTTTTCAGTAGCCCCTCTGATATTCCTAAGAAAGATAGGACATTGTGGTTAGGCGGACAGCATGAGTCTTAAACCCAGAATGCCATTGAAAGAGATCATCTTGGTCTTCATGGATTCCTGACCAGTTTCTGTCAAGTGTCTTCTTCAAGCTTGGGCCAAATGAAACAGGTGTTTAGAAATATTTAACCCACAAGAAACAGGACGTTGGTGACCTCTTATTAAAAACCATCATAATATTCCTCTTACTCATGTAGGGACTTGTCTTTTAGTATTATGAATAAATCATTACAGACGAGTGGTTTTAATGGCATGCCATTGGCAGTCTGAGTCCTCTGTGTATTTGCTCCCGTTCTTTGTCAAAACCTTGGTGAGGAGGTATGATCAGGGAGATCTGTCATTAGAAATATTAGTCTGTTCTTGAGAATTGATGCCCACAAAGCCTCTTTGTTCTTATGTCTAGTGCTGTTATGCAGCTTCTTTATTGACAGAAGCTAAATGGGCTTGCAAGAGTTGGGGCATGGGTTGTTGGGGTGCTGCATACTTTTCCTTACTTAGTATGGCTTCTTTTGAGTGTGTTTCCAGTAATAGGCCAATTCTTTGAAAGGAGGAGTGACTGGTCAGTGGATGTTGAGTTGGGAAAAATATAAAGTAAGCTGTGGGGTGAGATCATGACCAAGGTAGACAAGTGTATGGTAGCCTGAAAAACAGCAGAGGGAGGGGAGAGAGTTGGAGTCAGGATTTGGGCAGGCAAAGCTGATTTGTGAAGCAAAGAGTAGGGGCAGGAAACTGTTAATGTTCCATCCAGGTCTCTTTGCAGCTGTGCTGTTTTTTGTTCAAATCAACTCCTCATTCTGGGAATTACAATCAACCCAGAACAACCGGAATGTGTTGCAGCTCTTGAAATATACCAAATAAAAAGGCTGGCTTTACGGTGTCTGCCTTATTATGCCTTATATTTTGGGACTTAAGAAATTTGAAAGGGGTAGGAAATAATTGCCAAGGTCAAAGAATTCAAGCAGAAAAGATGTCCCCTGCCTCTGCTCCACGTGAATTAAAGTGTGGTGGGTGGTGGGATGTCTACATGTCTATTACCTTGCCAAGCTTAAAGTGATATTTAAAATGTGAAGATAGGCTACCTAATATGGTTTTAACTATTATTTGAGAAGATAGATTTCTGCATTAATCATTTTCTG